TTTGAACGATCTAGGGTTGATCAATCACTATTTTACTATAAATGCAAGTCTTTCATTGGTGGAGAGGTTGCAATGACGTCATTAACCAATCGTTGGGTCGTTCAAATCCTGTATAATCGAAAACGCTAATAGTCTCCGTCAATAAAAGACATGAATTTATAGTTAAATAGTGATTGATCAACCTTGGATTGATCAAAATCCGTGGATGTATTCCGTGTTAGTCTGGTTTATTTTATTTTCTAGATGTTGGCAGCTACTAAACTAAACCGAGAAGTGTTCCGAACTTGTTAAAGGTACAGACTTTAGGTTTGTTCTTTATAGCTGAGGTTTGTTCTTTATAGCTGAACTGGTTGCACTAGTTCAGAGTTTATCTTTTTCCCTCCACATTGGAAGGAGAAAGATAAACTCTGAACTAGTGCAACCAGTTCAGCTATAAAGAACAGACCTTTTAACTGGCTGCACTAGTTCAGAGTTTATCTTTTGCCCTCTACATTAGAAGGAAAAAGATAAACTCTGAACTAGTGCAGCCAGTTCAGTTATAAAGAACAGACCTTTTTACATAAGGCAAAACGCATAGGGGAATCAACCAATCAGAATCCTTCATCCTGGGGATGAATACGGTCATATTTTGTTTTTATATATATATATAAATTAGGTTATATTATACGAGTGCGCTTGTAATTAATAAAATGACTAATAAGATAATTTTAACATTTTTTCAAAGATTTGTTTATTAATCATTCCGTTCTTTTTTTTCTTAAGATATCGTGATAAAGCTTATTGTTATTATCACTGATATGGAATATACTGATATATTTCTCTCAATGTATCAGAGCTTTAATTGAAAAAAATTACAATATACTTTTATTCGTATAATGGCCGGAAATGGCAAAACTGTGATATTATGCAAAGGCTCGTCCGAGAAGAACGACAAGGAGGAGGCGTATGTGCAAATGTTGAAATCCGCTGGTTATATTTGCGAATGTTTACGTACTTTGCGATTTGAGTTTGTGAATATTTCGAAATTGCAAACTTGTCTCTTAGCAGCGGACAAATATAGTGGTAATATATAATATTAATTATGTATCACCTCTAATTATATTTATATCCTATGAGTTTACGTTATAGGTCTGATATTAACAAGTCCTCGTACAGTTGAAGCTATTGCACTGGCAGTGAAAGATGATGCAAGTATTTTGTATCATTGGAAACAGGTGCCAGCATACTGTATAGGACCTGCAACAGATTCTCTCGCAAGAAGTCAGCTCGACTTGCAACATTGTATTGGTAGTCAGTCTGGCAACTCAAAGCAACTGGCAGAACAAATTATTTCTAATGTAAAGAAAAATTCAAAACCATTATTGTATCCATGCAGTGAGATTGCACGCGACACTATAGCTTGTACTCTTGACAATAATGAAGTTTCAATACACAAGATTGTGGTTTATAGGACATTAGAAAGTGAATCTTTAGAACAGGACCTTTTAGAAGTGCTTAAAAAATCTTATAATATATTTGTTTTTTTCAGTCCATCTGCAGTAGAATTTATTGTAGCACAACTTAAGAGAAATTCTTGTAATATAAAAGATATAAAAGCAGTAGCAATTGGTCCTGTGACAAAAGATGCATTAATTAATTCTGGTTTCAATATATATGCCACTGCAGATAAACCTGAACCAGCTAGTTTAGTCCATGTAATTAAAGCAGCTGAGTATATAGAAAATTCAAGTGAAGATGTTTCGTGAAAATCAATATTAATAAAACTCATCAATATTTTTAACATTTTATCTGCCTAATGTAAATATTTGAATATATAATGGAGATTTGCTATATAGCTATCAAAGGAATTTTTTGCTTCATATATGAGATTTGTTTGTTAACAATAATTATATACATAATGTATATGTGAGAGATATATATATATTGCAGTTTCAAATTGAATATAAATATACAATAATTCTTAAACAAACAATGTTGACTATGATTTATATTCCTTCACACTACATTTTCTGTTCAGGATGGATAATACAATAATTTCATTAAAGTGATAAAACTTTAAATGTCTAAAACGTTAGCAAATTTGTGCGCACGCATGTTGTTGCTGATAGCCTTAATAACATATGTTGAATCTCTTTCGCATATATCACTAATCTAAGTCTACTTGTATATTACAGTTATAACTTTTGATATCATCATGTAATCTCATGTTTCATTAAGCTCAATATCTATTGCGATTGACATTACCAAGGAGACATGAAATGTCCGAGCCAACTATCGCGGATTGATTCGCGTAATAAGGCTGAGGAGGATTTCCTCCATTATTGTATTTCATTTGTACCGCCGTTTCATAATCGGGTGCTGGTCTGTAGGATGGTAATAATGCGCGCAAACTATTTATATCCGTTGATGAAACGGATACAACAGGATATGGCGATGTTGAAAGGTCATTGTAGCTTGTCCATCGCGTATGATTGTCCGTATTTCGACTTTCCAAATTTACGGATACTGCTTGTTCGCTAGAATCGTTTGTCTCATTATCCTGAAATGATATATTAATGTTTTGAATTGTGAAAATCGTGTGACATATTTCAATAGATGGTTGAATGAATGCTCACAAAGTAGCCATTAGTTCTTTCCAATGGACGACGTTCTTGATACTGCATATAAAATGTATGCTGAGCTATGCATAATCTCCATATATATTTTGCATCACGTGATTCAGAAAATAAAAATTGTTTTGCTTCTTCACCTTCCAATTGGCACTCTATCCTAAACGTTTTTTTGTGATTTATGACATTACTGATGTCTCTCCATCTGCAAGACAGAAAATTCTTTGATTTATGTTTACAATATTCTTAGCATATATTGAAGTTAAAAAAAAACCTGTAAAATTGTGTTGCTTGCGTGTTAGGATAAACCATCATAATTCCATTGACGGAAATTCCAAGGATAACTTTATTATTACTGTTATCCTGAAACGTACATTTACAGAGTTAGACCATTTGAAGCAACAAAAACCACAGTAATCAAATTATACTGCAGTTTTCTAACCTTTGCAGTGAACGTTTCATTGCCATATCCTTCTAATTGCGTAGCAATTGAAATATACAGCTCTTCTGCAGTAGCTTGTGTAACATTAACAAGACTCTTGTATTGACATATTGCTGTATGTAAGAGAGAATCTTGCCCACCTGGATCTGTCTTAATCACATCCTACATGTAAAAATATAGTATGAAGAATATGGCTCCCATAAATTTTAAATAATTTATAGTTATGAAAATTGATATTACATTCGGAAAGAAAGTACATTGTTGGAGATATTCAGTTGTGTGTTTTTCTGAACTATAATTTCCAAACTCAGCTTGCATAGAATAGCTTGCTAATAAACAAGCTTGTCTAGAATTACAATGTATTTTATCTTCAAATATATCACTCTTCAATTGTAGATAATAATGATATCTGAAAATAGATAAAAAAAAACGTTTAAAATTATATTTATATATTTAAAACTTTATATTGCTTAATTCTTTGATTGCAGGATATTCAAAAAGTACATATATACAAGTGCGCTGTCATTTCTGTGTATGGAACACTTTTGGAACAAATTTTCATGCATTATGCAAATCGTTTTCGTATTTACAAAACCATTGAATTGCTCAATTGTCTTATCATTACAAATAACTTTTTTTCCGATCTTCTTTATCTTATAAGTGCCTAAAGACACCCGCAATACAGTGAGCAACTCTATCAAAAGCGTCAAAAGTGCCAAAATAGTATAGTGAGCATTTTTATCAAACGTCTAAACCTACTGATAATACATATCTGTCTTTTGTCAAGTATCTAAATCTCGAGATATCTTTTTTATCAACTGGGTCATATTTTTTAGATTGCATTGATATTTCATGCAATATTATATTAATTTTCTTAAGAGAGTAATAAATACCTTGTCATATCATCTTGAATAAGTTGAACATCTGTAACATAGTACATAACTCTTAAATAAAGCGTAAAGTTCTTAGCATCTTTCTCAAGTTGTCTTTTCAAGGGTTTGTCCATGTCTACCCATCGCAACGAGGCTGTACCGTGACAGCAAAGGTAGCGTAAGCCGAAGAATTCTGGCTGTCCCAGTCCCAAACGCTGTGTCACATTGTTCAGACATTCCTGACCGACACTGTCAATACTGAGTGTGCATTCTATGGAAGTAGTATCCAACAATTCGACACAGATGACATACTGGTTCTTGGATACAACGTTGTATTGTCTGCTTTTCTTTAAGTGAAACTTAAGTGCACTGAATGGCATTTTAGCAATCGCGAAGAAACTGAAAAATATGGATGCATTGTATGATTTAAGGTTTAAAGTACGACTGACGATGCGAATTACAGGTTAAAACTCATACTAGCAATTGCATGGATGTTTACGAATGAATTAAATATTAATATATATTGCAATAAAATAATATTTTATGTTTCTAATAAGGTACACCCACACACACACACATACACGCAATAATAATAAGTTAATAATATAATAATCAAAATTAACAATACTTCAGGCGCTGGTAGTGTTGCGCATATGCAAACTCACCCGATGTCTTAAAATATCGTACACTCATCACTCTCCCTTGTGTAAGCATCACTCGGCGTACACACGGTTACAAGATAAATGCATGTAATTTTGCAGCTATTATTTGACATTTCGTTATCAATAACCGTATCAATCAATATCGGCTATAAATATCAAATTCTTCTCAACGTGTTATTGTATACGCGGCCTTACGAGACGAGATCTATTCCATATTCTTTTTACGATTGTAACGTTTTCTATCAACGGAATAGCTCATATATTCCGTTTTCTCTTCTAAATGGTCATTTTAATACACAAGTTTAGCTTGTGTGTATATTTTCCTTATTTATACAGCAAACATCTCGCGTAAGAAAGTGTCGATTTCGGCTCTGTCGAGTGAGTCTCGAGACATCACGAGATATCGAGCGATTGAGAAAAAGGTATCGATACTTTCTATCAGAGTAGTGTCGGCAGTGATGCAAACTCGAGCCGGCCAGCACCAGGGTCGGCTCGAGTTTGCATCACTGAGGCTGGCGTCACATAGGGCGGTATTCATAGTCCGTTCTTATATTCAAGATCGTCTTAAGCACGAACTTATATTCGCTCTCTTTGTCAGACACAATCTATGTGTGACGAAGAGAGCGAATATAAGTCCGTGCTTAAGACAATCTTAAATATAAGAACGGACTATGAATACCGGCCATAGAACCCGTAATCCGTAATCCGCACCGGAAGTCCGCAAAAGTTACTAGGGATTGCGTCCGTAACGTTACGTATGTTTTTTCTCCTTGTGTCCCATGGAGCCGTAAATACACACGTAACGGTATTACTATTTTTTATTTAACAAATTATAATTGTTTATTTGTATTTTATTCATAAGAAAACTACAGAATATATTATAATTTTAACAAAAATTTTAATTAAATCGTCAAATTTAGTTAAATAAATAAATTAAAAAAAGCATTACTAGTAATAACTAGTAACTTTTAGTAACTTTTACGGAAATTTCATGGAATTACGGCTCCATGGGACACAAGGAGATAAAACACACGTAACGTTACGGACGCAATCCCTAGTAACTTTTGC